TGTTTTAAAAAAAGAAACTAAACATCTTAATTGATCTATATATATAGCAACATCAATATGCATATCTTTTGATTGTAAGCTTTTGCTAATTGAATTTACAGCAAATAATACATATCATACCAAATAGTCATACCCAATAAAAATTCAAAATTTTCAAGCTCAAGAATTGCTAAACAATTAGCTTCACTTTTAATTTTTGGATCATCACTAACTTCTTCTAATTTAAATAAACCATCTCTTATTTGTGGAGTTTGAAACCTTATTGTTTTAACACTTTCAATACGACTTTTCCACCGAGTTTGTGACAATGATTTAAGAGTTAAACTAGGTACACTATCTTTTAAAATTTTCCACCGCTTAGTAGACGAAGAAAATAATGAATATATACGTTGTACCACTCCAAAGAATGATATAGCTTTCGTACAAGAATTAACCATATCACAAAGTACCAAATTTAGATTATGACAACCACATGGTGTATAAAATGATCTAGGATTTATATCAAGAAGTCGCACTCCTTGGTGTTTTCCCTTCATATTAGACCCATTATCATATCCTTGTCCTCTTAAATTATCAATATCAAGTCCAATACATTTTATTTCATCTAAAATAACTTCAAAAAGACCTTTTCCACTTGTATCATCCACTTTTAAGAATTCTAAGAAATATTCGGTTACATTTATTGGAGTTGCCGAAATATCTACACTCCGTATTATAAAAGACATTTGGTCTTGATGACTTGTATCTGGCGTGCAATCAAGTATGATAGAGAAATACTTTATTTTTATAACTTTTTCAATAATCTTGTTCTTAATTTCACTTGCCAATAAATTTATTAATTTATTTTGTATATTATGTCCAAGATAATGATTATGAATTTCATCATGTTTGATTCGTCGAATATGTTCTTGCTTAATTGGATCAAATTCTGCAATCATTTCATTAAGACTCAAGAAATTTCCGCTATTTTCTTGATAGATTTTTTCATTTTTCCCCCTAAACGCCAAATTATTTTTTTCAAGAGTTTTTATGACAGAAATAATTCTTGACAATACGTTTTTCCAATGTTCTCTATCTCTATTAATTTGGTCTTGAATATTTTTATCGATTGTTTTATTATTACGCAATTTAAATTCTAAATCAATCCATGAACTCATATTAATAATATGTTGGTTAGTTGTTTCATGAGTTCTAAGCTTAGTAGTAAGATATTTCCAATCTCTACTACCTTCATTAGCTAACTTATTATTCTTTGCATTAAAGGTCGTATTAAATTACTTACAACAAAAACAAAATACCTTATTCAAATCTTTTGGAATAAACTAACCATATTCTTTCATGTCTTTCTCCATTTGCCAACTTTTAAAAATAATATGTAGTAGAAAAGTGCCTTAAAAATTAATCCTTTGAAAAACATGTGTCGGTAATTCTAATTGGTCCCTTTTCTACTAATAAGTCTCTTAACTTTGTATCAACAATATTCCATTGATTAGGATCATAGATATTTTTAGGAGTATGATTATTTAATTCATTTATAAGTTTTTGATTTTTTTGGAAATCTACATCCGACATTTCACTAATTTTCTCTCCTTCTTCTTCTTTTTGGTTTATATCATTATCTAACTCAACTTCAACTAAGTTAGTGACTTGTTCTTCTAAAGAGTTTTTGATTTAATTTTAACATTGTTTTTCAAAAATTTATCAAGAGCACTTTTTGAGATTTTATCAAGTTATCGACTTTTCTTTTTCTTTTAAGTTTTGAATGACCAGATTCATATTTTCTAGTTGACATATTAAAATCTAACAAATATTTTAAACACTATTTACAATATCAAATAAAAAATATAATAAACATAAGACACAAAACAAAAATAATATAAATTTTTGGATTTCTTGTTTTGTTGTTAATTTGTCAGGAAATTCTATAATTTTCCTTGAGATATGTGATTGGAGTTCAATTCCATTTTTTGAAATAATCATTCCTAAGAATTCTATTTCATTTTTATTAATGTCAGCTTTTTTCTGGCTTAACACGATTCCATTTTTTAAACAAATTTCTAAAAATTCTTTCAGATGTTTTAAATGTTCTTCATATGTTTTGGAACATATTAGAATGTCATCTATATAGACTATTAGAAATTCCTTTTCAGAGAATATTTTATCCATTTTTCTTTGGAATATTTGTGGAGCATTTTTTAGTCCAAATGGCATGACTAATCACTCATAGTGTCCACTAGGAGTGCTGAAAGCAGTTAACTGAATTGAGTTTTCTGCTTAATTTTATCTGCCAAAATCCACTTTTGCAGTCGAATTTTGAAAAATTATGTTTTTCCTTTTGTCTAAGGTTAATTAAATTGTTTTTATTTGGGATAAAATATCCATCAAATATGCAGTTTTTGTTTAGCTCTTTATAGTTTATTACCATGCGAGCTTTTTCCTCGTTTGATTTCAGCATGATTTCTTACCATAAATGCTGGGCTGCTATGAGGACTTTTACTCATCCTTATTAATTTTAGATTTAATAATTCTTTAATCTGAATTTTGAATTCAATCTTATCATCTTCATTGTAGAGCATGGGTCTAACCCTGATGATTATACTAGGGTCTTTTAGAGTTAAAATTGCTCTTTCATGGTTTTGTTCCCATTTTTCTAGTGGATTTTCACCATAGGATTTTTGTAGATTTTCTTTAATCCTTTCTAGATTGAGACATTTACAAGTAATTTTTCTTAGATTTTCTAAGTATTTTCTTTTGTAGTTTCCATTATTTTTTTCAAGATTATATGGATTTTGTTTTCTAGGGACTTAATGTAATATCCACAAGGAGTTTTTAGGCTTATCATATATAAAGTTTGATGATAATCCTGAAACTGTTGTATGAAATCATTTCCTAATAATAAATTTGTTTCCAGTTTATCATAAGCAAATAATTTATTTATAGAAACAATCTTTGATCCTAGGATTATTTCTACCTTTTCCTTAGATTTAGAAAGCTTTTCTTTATCTCCTGTGATTCCAATCATCGAGATGTTATTTTTATTTATGTCCCAATCTTTTATTAAAAAAGATTTCGCTAGACTAGTTTCTGATCCATTGTCTAACTGACAGCAGGTTGTTAGTTTTGTATCATAGAAAGTTATTTCTATGAAAACTGAAACTTTAAAAATTGTTTCTTTTGGCATTATATTTTTGTTATGAAACAAGTTTCACCATTGTATAGCATTTCTATTCCCTTTTTACCAATGCTATAATCTTCCAGTTTATTTAGGAATATATTCCCTAAAATTATTTCGTGATCACCATCGTGATTGGTTATATAACAAGGAACTGTTGTTCTTATAGTATCTAGTTGTATAGGTAGGTCTACCATGTTTTTACAACTAAAATTATTCCCTTCAAAGGTTTTATATGTATAGTGTTCTCCTTCATAGACGGTTAGACCTTCTATTATGATACCCTTTACATGATTAGCCGTTGCTCTTGTTTGTATCAAGATTTCTTGATATTTCCATTCTGTTCCATTGAAGATTCTTCCCTTTATTTTTGTTATGTTTGGAGTTTCAATTTTTAGCGGATATCTATTGGATATGCTTTTTCTAATTGAATTTCTTCCATATTCTATCGAAAGTCTAGGGTTACTAGTACTTCCTATTTCTTGTGTTTTTCCAAATCGAATTCATATTCATCTGGAATTTGGGCTTGTTGAATTTCTGCTTCAACTATTCTCGCAATTCCTGCACATTCTTGATCTATTTCGATCATTCCTTTATTTTTGTATATTTTACCATAGTTTGAATTTGTAACAGTGTATAATGCCTGGTAATATATACTCATTATGTGATTACCTGGTTTAAATAGATCATTTCTTTTGATCTGAAAATGCAAACTTAATGCATCATTAAAATCAGCATCTTTTAGTGAAATGTATAGGCTAGATTTCCCTCTACTATACCAAGATTTCCTTCTCTTGCATTTATGAATCTTTCATCTGATAGATTTATCACTATTGGACAATTGATTCCTTCTTTAAAAGTCGATTTGACCAATATTTGGATTCCTCCTAAATGAACGTAATTCATTTTCTTTCTTTTTCTTTCAGGAATTTTCCTGAGAATTTGGTCTATCATGGGCTTTGTTAACAGGTTTAGTTTATGTTTTCCTGTTGTTTGGGTAATTTCTATACCTTTTCTATTTCTTGATATTCATGATAGGAAATTTTATCTCTTGCAAACATTCTTTGCATTCTGCTTAGTAGATTGTCTTCTACTTTAAGATTTAGTTTTAATCCTTGGATTTTTCTAAAATGTTTCTCCGTCAAAAAGTTGCTTTTTAAAGCATACCCTCGATGGTCTTCTTCTGTTTCTAATATTTGAACAGATTTTTCATTTTCTTGAATTTCTTTATTCATTTAGTCAGATTCTTCTGACTTCCGGAAGTCGGTATTCACTGTTTTTTTAGTAGTGGTTATAGAATTAAAAATCTATTACAATTCGTTTTTGGATAAAATATTCTTGACAATTCATTGTACTCACTTAAAAACAAAATTGAATAATTATAGATAAGCTTATTGAGGTAGTTCACCACTGCGCGTAGGGAGGATAATTTACCTAGTTAAAAAATATATATGATTTTTTCTAATTACTTCGTACTCATAAAAATATCATATGAGATATTATATTAAAATTAAAGATTATCAAATCAGGAAAAAAGAAATTTTCTTTTTATTTCAAAAATACAAACAAATTGAAATGATATAGTACTTTATTATAATTTATGTCTTGTGTTAAAAGTGGCTAATTTACCTTCTTCGTCCCAGTAAGCCCACAAAACCATCCCTGAACCCAACTTCCCTCCGGCCGTTCCGCCGCCCGCCGGTTTTGCACCATTTTTTCCGATCTAATCAAAGGTGAGGTAATTAGCTTTCTTTCTGATCAAATTTAATATTCAATTTCATCAGTTCCGACGATATTCACGATTTTTTTTCTTCTTTTTGGGTTTGACAGCATTTTTGGATCTGTGGTACCATGTCGTTCATGAAAGGTGATTTGCTAAGTAGAACTAGAAGGCTTGTCAAAGGTTTAGCCAAAGCTGAACCTGTATGGCTCAAAGCAATGGAGCAGTTAGTATCTCCTTTTCTTCATTCAGTTATCTCTTTATTGTTCAAAAACCTACTCTTGAACTATTACTATGTTGAAATGACACATTTATGTATAAATTTAGAGTTTATTAGGGTAATTTCACTGTTACGTGTGCGAGATGAAAATATGCCTGTAATGCTGGTTGCTGCTTTGAATTTTTGTTTTCTAGGGCTCCACCTGCAACATTTCCTCGTGCCGAGAACAAATTGCTACCCATCAGTTTACCTGAGGATGTCTACATCAAGAAGTTCTTCCAAAAGTACCCAGAGTCGAAACACGAGGATGCTATTAAGTATGGCTTTTTAACCTGTTAATGGTTCTTAGTATGTATTGTTTGACTTTGTCTTCATTATCGTCTAACAGTTGCATTATTAGTAAACTATCCTTGAGGTGTAGGCCGTGTTGTATTTTTGATCCTTTAGTTTACAGACTTAACAGCTTGATTGTGTAGACTTTAATTTTAAAAGGATAATGCGCAACATGTCGAGGAAAGAAGTGTGTACAGCGCAGCCAATTACATAACATGATAAATACTATATTGGCAATTGAAAATAAAATTAAGGTCTCAGCACATCATCTGTTGTGCAGTCTAGAATAGAATCAGTGTTTTATCATTATTTTCCTATTGGAAAAATTGGCATGTTAAATTTCTCAATGTTTTTGCGGATTGAGGCTTTATTATTATTTTCTTTATAATTTTAACAGAATTTCTGGATTTGACCCTCCTCCAGCCCGAATTTACGGGTGGCGAGTGCTCGAGTTAAAGGAGCAGGGGGTCAGTGAAGAGGAAGCTGTGGCTGTTGCTGATGTACGTATCTCGTCTTTCTAGATTTAAATTCATTGAGGTTCAATCTTCTCCTAGGATCTCTCTTTTAAGAACATTGGTTTTGTTGCTATAGATGGAATATCGTGTAGAAAAGAAAGCGAAAAAGAAAGCATATTCTCGATTGAAGCAGATTGCTCGACTTCAGGGGAAGAAACCACCTCCTAATCCATATCCAAGTGCTATCAAGGAGATACAAGCTGAAGAAAGGAAGTATGTGCGTGATCGTTTCTATAACCGAGATATTCTTAAAATTGTGGAGAAACTGAAAGAGGAGAGGCAAGCAGAGATGCAAGACAGAAGAGGTGGAGGTGGCTGGTAAACGTCCATGGTCTTTTTCCAATAGTTTTTCTTTTTGCTTTTTGCCCAAGTTGGTATACTTGGTAATGTTATGATACTCTTTGTCAAAGTGGTTATACTTGATAATGTTATGATACCCTTTCCTCAAGTACTAGAAAAGCGTTTCACTGCTGGTTTATGTAGTAGACTTGGAGTTCATATTCCAATTAAATTTGGAAAATAAGTGAGTAATATCTCTTGCCAATGTTACACAAGCTTTGCAAGTGTAGTTTTGTTCTCGGTATATCAATTTCTTTTATCTAATTACTCCATTTATTAATATTTAAGTAGTTCTGTGTACTTTTTATTGCCTTTTTCCTTCAAGGGAGGTTATCCTAGCCCTCAGTTTTAATGATTACGGGTTTCTACCCAACTTTTAATCTGGTGCCATATTTGCAGAGGTTTCTTCTTCCATCTTTTGCAATTATAACAACTTACATGCAGCTTTATCAAAAGAAAACTTTTTATGCATCCATATTAAATGACAGCCTGCTGTTATAGTAAAACTTTCTCATGCTTGTAGTAGATCTTATAAGAAGCTAAACCCTTGGCATACTACTCAAACTTAATTCAATGGACAATGTGTTGTGCCTTGTTTTAGTCAATGATTGTTGTAGAATCACTTATGATGCAGTTAACTTCATTGTTACAGAGATGCATTGTCTTCTTATCACATTATTATGAGTTTCTTGCCCCAGAAATGTGATGATGAATATTTGCAGGTCTTAGACAATGTTTGGAAATTTCATAATGTGATGTAGCACATGACCAACTTGCATATAAGTATGATCTAAAGCTTCCTACTTTTACTTCTCTACACATTCAATTCCTTTTATCTCCTGTGGCTAGTGTAAATTCATACTTGTTGGTTCTTTGTGTCTAGGCATGGCAGGCAGGGTGGGGTTTAACCTGCAAAAATTTCACCCGCTTTTGCCTGTGAGCATTTTTTTTCCCATTTTCAGCTCGCCCCAGTGGCCCCTTCAACCTGTCCCTGCTGAGACCCTCGCCCACAAAAGGTCTATTTTTCATTTTGTTATTTTTTCTAATACATACAAGGTTTATAGTTTTATCTTTTTTCAATTCTTAAATCATTCATACGAGGGTTTTTTCCTTTCATCTTCTCCATTTTTCTACATCTCCCTTTTCAGCCATTTTTGCCATCCTTCATCTTCATTTTTCTCCTCTCTTCAAATCACCACTACGACCCTTTTCCTCTTATTCTCCTATTCCTCTCTCCATCATCGAACACCATTTCTGCCCAGTATCTTTTTGGTCATGAATAGAAAAGAGTACTTAGGCCGAGTGGCAGTGTTGAGTTTTAAGCATGTTTAGGCTAATGGCAGCAGTGAATATTTGTATGTTTCATAGGTAGTAATAGTTGATATGGCATTGGAGCTCGGAGATCAAATTATAGAATTAGTTATGATTACGAGTAATACAAAGATTGTATCCAGCAATTATCGAGAAAGAGCAGGAAAAGGGGTTGAAAGGTATACATTCATTAACCAACAGTGAAGCAGGTATGATAGATTAGTGGTTAAAAAGTGATCACCAACTCAGGCAAGATGTTATTCATCTATGGCATGATTATCTAGGCGGAGGCCATTCCGAAATGAAGAACACCTACAACAGAGTTTCAATTCTTCTCTACTAAGGTATGATACTAACACTTATATGAGTAAGTGCTCAGTTTATCAAAGGGCATATATGATGAGCACAACCTCTCTTGGGCTTCTTTAACCTTTAGCTATTCCTAAATCAGTTTGGTCTTGTATCAGCATGGAGGATTTTATTGATAGCGGAAGAACTAGTATCTTGGTGATTGTAGATAGATTGACCAAGAACAGCCATTTCATTGCTGCTATTAATCTGCTTCTTTTGTGGCAGACTTGTTTAAACATATTGGAAGTGACAATATAGGAGCCATTTGCATGACAGGGAGTCACTTTTTCCGCCTTCAATCCCCAATCAGATGGACATACATACTGACTGAAGTACTAAACAAAACCGCGTGTTATTACTCAAACAGTCAAACATGAACTGGTCTCTTAATCTTCCCTTGGCTGAGTGGTGGTATAATTGAACTTATAACTCAGCTATTTAGCTCATCTCAGGTTTCATTTGCATATAGTAGCTCAACACTAGATAACATGCTTTGGCCAACCATAAAACAGGAGTGACTTGAAATTGCATGTGGGAGATTGGTTTTAACTAACCTTATGCTAGACAGCTGCTGATCTTGTCCAACCAAGCATTCACTAAATGGTCAGCTAAGTATTATACCCTCATGTGGCCATTTATTCTACTTTCTACCATTGTTTCATTGTCACAGTGTACCAGATACATTTAACCATTTAGCCAAGTCCCTATTGTGTGGAGCCTCAAAAGTATTCTTGGGAGGAGGATGGTAAAAAAAGGAAAATAAGGTTGTACACAAAACGGTTACCATTTAAAAACGGCTTGGATATTTCATCATTTCAAAAGTAGATCAACTATGTATCAAAATATATTATCGATCATAAAATATGGATACCCCATTAATTTGTCGTACATTACTCAACTCACTTTTTTTTCTTTTTTAATCTCTATCAAATATGGATGGGTAGAAAATTTTATTATTTTTACCTAACTCATTTCAACATGACCTGCCTGTTTGCCACTCCTAGTAGTGCCTCAAGTTTTTGCAGCAATGAATGGGCATGCTTAGAGAACAGGCAACCTAGGAAGAATATTAGGTGGTGAAGACCAAACTTCCTACCTTCTTTGAAGATAAAGGCTTTTAAGGGAGGAAATTATGTCCTAAATAATTTTTTTTAAACATGATTACAACTTGAAAATTTTGCTAGGAGGAATTTATAGTTGCCTAGGCATAAGTTTTAACTTTTGCTTATAAGACCAAGTTTATGGAACCTGTGTTTAAAATATCTTGAACATACCTAAGTTCTTGCTTTTGCTTCTACTATCTTAAATTATCCTGCACACTTGTCTCATAAACAAAAGTTTAAAACTTATCTCTAATGGACAACATACCTAAGTTCTAACTTTTGCTTACAAGACAAAACTTGAGGTCAATTGAGTAAGTTCACTGTCATAAAAATCCTAAAAGCAATTTTTGTCAAGACTTTTCTGAGCTTGACCCAAATGATGCAGATTAAAAAACTGTGGAGGAGTTAGTTGATATTAAGAAAAGTCAAGTTACAGTTTAGTTCAACTGTTTACACATGAAGATGTGATGCTCTGTTTTAGTCCTTGTGAGAATTGTACTGTTCATAACCTAATTAGGTGAGGCAGCTATGGTTAGGAGAAGGTACAAATGAAAATATCCTTGAGCAATAGCATATCTAGCTTAGTATAATTATGCTTTTCGCCGTTACCTTGCTCATTCTGCATCGAAAATCCATCAGCTAAATGGTTCTAGCATCTTTATCAAGACTCGAAGTCAAGTGCCCCTTGACTGATGATTGTTAATTGACAATACAAGTAGCAAATTTGTTTCAACAACTTATTGCACGATTATAGATGTCACTTCCAATACAAGTATGTGTTTCAAATGAAAAATTGACCTAAAATAAGTCAGAATGGAAATGCTAGCAAGTATTTACAACATTGGAACCTACAATCTGTGAAAAAGAGTTCCAGAAAGAATCTTATAACTGTTGACTATGTACTAATGGTATCCGACTAGATCGACCATTTTCACAATCATATAAATGCAGGCCTAGATGGTTTTCTTAGTCGGGTAATATTGTAAAAAGAATGCTGATACAACAAATGTTGCGTTTCATCCTAGGATTCCCACGCAACACTTCTCCAAACATGAGCCATTTACCATAGAACTCACTTCTCCAGTAGTAGAATGAGCTGAAGGCGCCGCCATTTACCAACACGACCCACTGGAAAGGTATAAAGTACAATGTTTCAACAGCTCAATGACACAGGGTCTCTCCATAGTTTACCCAACGTACAAAGCTATCTGAAAGTTCCTCGACAACTACACAACTCTGGGCATCACTGTAGGATGCCTCTGCTCCAGTATTTGCTGTTCCCTGCAGATAGTGAATTCTATAGTTGAATATCAAGCAAAGAGAAGGTCACAGCGTTATTCAGTAACTTAGCATTAATTGTTAATACAGTGCGTTGTCAACTTTACCAGAAACAAAGACTGAGTCAGTCAAATATGGCCTCAAATCAGAAGCACTACAATCATGTGTTAGGTGACTAATAAGCCAACACACTAAGGAAAGCTGCTAATATTGTTCAGAGAATCTTCTTCTTTGAGATGAACAAACTTAGAATCTACAATCAATACATTCAGTTTCTGTCTTTTAATGAAAATAGCACCAAGAGAACGCTGGACATGTACAGGGAAGATCAAAGAAAACCGTTCCTTTCAATACTTCAGGGAGTTGAGAAAGTCTTGGCGAAAGTATCTATGACAAACTACAAAAAGTACTCTCCACTTAGAAAGACATTCTTCGACAACTTTTCCGTTAGTAGCTGCCCAGTTACCAATGATCCCCCCACCCCACCGACAGAACCCAATTTCACTACTATTTCAACCAATGATATCTCACCTTTATATTTAAATTAGCTATGGAAATTCAAGACTAGCAGTTTGACAAATAACTTTATAAATTTGATCTTTTCTGTCCAAAGAAGGCAAGTAAGGTGAAAACTTTTTTTCTTAGAAGGTTGAGCTTTGGGAATGTATCTCATTAGCCCTCCATCCCTTTTTTCCCTAGACCAATGATCCCTACTACAATTATGACACAAGTTACAATGCTCCAACTTTATTGGAATGATCACATTAATAGTTACATAATCGTCAATTTGAAACCTATCATGTTACTTCAATTATAGGTGGTAGTGACAACCTTGAAAGTGAAATTCTAGTTTAAGAATCTACTTGATCTGGTTCATGGTCCAACAAACAATACACTATACATGCGACAAGTACATATGGTATGTTTTCCTCAGTTTAGTTTATAGCAATATAAATATTTTCTCTTTTTTAGAGAAGATATGGTCTACCATTTATCCATTTCCTCAAGAGCTTCGAGAAACAAAGACAACTTTCGATGGTCGTCACTCGTCAGTCATGTAATTTTCTGGCAAACCAGGAAAGACAGAAAGTGTCTACAATGAACCGTCAATTGCCAAATAATGTCCTCCATCTAATCATAGAACCACAATAAAAACTTCTACTGTGGTAGAAGCCTGACTATCAACCATCTTTCAGTGAAGGGAAAATGGCCACATCTATCTAGAATTATTTTCAAATTCTTGTGGTATTGTCTTTTCAGGTGGAAATCTCAGAACTAATGTAATGAGGTGGTGCCTGACAAAACTTGACAACAAAGTTCATGAGCTATTTTTGCAATGTTTACTATCAATTTTAGTATGAGAAATAGGAAAGCAGTCGAGCACATATGTGCTTTTAAGTATGATGGAATCAGAAGTTGAACAAGTAAGAGTTTAGATCAGAAGTTGTCCCAATATGATGAAACTTTTGCTCAACTCACACTTACCTTCTTTAAATCTCTAGTTCACAGGCGGAACAAAATAGACCTATAAGTGATATCAAGTTGGGTACAAGGACGGTAAACGGGACGGGGTGGGGTGGGGTGGGAGGTTGCTGGGCAAACCCGCATAACCCCACGAATACTTCAACCTGCTCCGCCCCGCCCCCCATAACAAAAAAATCTATTTGCAACCCGCCCCACCCTGCATAATTTTTCTATTTTTTTCTTTTAAAATTAAGTTTGATACTAAAAGTGAAATTCATAATATTTTTTTTTACACATTTCAGCTAATTAGTATCTTGACTGTCATAATCATACTCTTTGCAGGGAATTTTAATATTCCATTGTTGTACAATACGAAAGTTGTTTTCATTTCTGTCATGATGTGTATCCTTAATTGAACTGGAAAGTGAATTGAATTTGTAGAAAAAAATTACCACAACAAAGTGGCAGTCTTCAGGGAAAAAATTATTCAAACTGAGTACACTTTCATTAATTACCCATAATTATACACTTACCTAATAAATGCATTGATTACTTTTTTCTGATTCAATGTAATTTTGGATGTGAGCAAGGTTAGTGGCTTCTTATATATGCATCTATTAAAAAACCGCAACCCGCCCCGCACCCACTTAGAGACAAACTAGCCCCTGCCCCGGCCCATTGCCATCCCTCGCTGGGTAGATGGACTAAACCAAGCTAAAACGAATTCAACGTAAATGATGATAGCTGTATTAAGGGAAATCCAGGAAGTGCAGGGAGTGGTGGTGTACTGAGAAATCACAGTGGACACATGGTGATGGTATTCACTGCCCATAACGGCTGCTACAGTAACAATAAAGCTGAGGTCCAAGCCCTGAAGATTGGACAACAGTGGTGTCTTAATAATAGCTGTCACAGGGTAAGAGTGGAATCTGATTCACTTTTTTTTTTTTTTTTAAATGGTAACATATTATATCCATCAAAAACACAAAAGCTTCATGGCAGCTACAAGACTTCCGGGAGGTACAACAAATGAGGATGCAAGGAAGCTGTTTTGACTCGGGAAAATCTGAGGAAGAGGGGGATACAACTGCGCTCAAGATGCTATCTGTGTGGACAGGAAACAGAAACAATCAACCATCTGTTTTAACACTGTAGAATTACTAGCCAGCTGTGGGATATGTTCATCAACCTAGGAGGAATCTGATGGAAAGCCAGAATAACTAATGAAGTTCTAGCAAGCTGGAATGAAGGGAGGAACTGCAACAGCCACAAAGATAGATGGGAAATTTTCCCAGCAAGCATTTGGTGGAAAGAAACTTTAGATGTCTTGAAGATGCAAGTAGTACTTTACGGAAAATTAAATCAAACTGTATTCTCTTTTTTCGGTTTTTGGTGCAAGTCTGAGTACATAGATGATCATGAGGAAATCGTTAAGGTATTAGGATAAGAAGAGCAAGGATGCTGTAACAATCCATTTTGGTTTCCAGCACATTTTAGTAATGATGTCTATATATATACACAAAATGTTACTTTTGAACACAACAATTTTGAGTTCATTCTTCACTGAGGATATAAATTTTCCTAGACAAGTTATAGCCACATTGAAGAATGATGGACATGGATTGCCAAATTTCAGGATTCGTGTGAAAAAAGGTAAATTTTCTTTTGAACCTGCTTGAATGTTACTTCCGTCAACAGATAGGTTCTAACATTTAGTTAGATCTTTTTTTAAAGCTCAAATGCATACATCTTGTAAAGTAGAAGTCCTCATTTAGTTAAATAAACATTTTGCATAGGGGAAGTTTATTCATTCTTCGATTCAACATAGGAGACAAAAGGCTTCTATAAGCACCCCCTCATGTATATATATTTTTTCGGTGATATGACATTGCACCAAAAG